TTTGCTTGAAATCTTTGTAAAGCGATTTCGTTTTTTTATTATACTTGAGCTGTAATCAAATTTCTAATAATTAATACCCTATATATAACAACTTGCTCGATTTCAAAAATATGAAGAATGTGTCGTGATTAGTGACCGTTAATCGATAATTATTCAAAAATCGTGAGGTGCGGTCTTGTGTGATATTGGTTTAGAAAAAACATTTTCTTTATCGAAATAGAAAAAAAAATTGGATAGAATGGTTAATAATGTACATTAATCCTTTTACACAAATCTTGTCACAAAATGACCCAGACACATTTACAACCGAGGGAACAATATTTGTTTTCAATTTTTAAGAAAGTGATTATTCAGAAATGTGTTCTTTATCGGGCCAACGTTTCGATCTTTATTGAGATCATCTTCAGGGCCTGGGATTTACAAACATTGTTTAAATTTAACAAATACATGTGGAATGTGGAAAAAAGTGAATTTATACAATGTAAAATTATTTTTTATATTCATTCAAAGTATTTTTACTCAGAAACGAACACTTTGAGTGAGTAGAAATACTTTGAATGAATATAAAAAATATATTTTGCATTGTATAAATTCACTTTTTTTTCCACATCCCACATGTATTTGTTAAATTTAAACAATGTTTGTAAATCCCAGGCCCTGAAGGTGATTTCAATAAAGATCGAAACGTTGGCACGATAAAGAAAATGTTTTTCTGAAACCTACATCACACCAGACCGCATCTCACAATTTTTGTATAATAATATGAAGAATCTCTGAATGAAACGGGCATTTGTTGTCTTCGTTTCTCGATAAAACTTTCGTTATACTATAAAAATAATAAACAATCATATAATTTACTTAAAATCTTTGTAAAGCGATTTCGTTTTTTTATTACACCTTGAGCTGTTATCAAATTTCTAATAATTAATACCCTATATATAACAATTTAATAATACATATATAATATATTTAATAGTCTTTTTAATATTGTATACCGTTGGTATTTACCTATCTTCTATGTATTTACCAATTTATCTGCATGTCTATCTATTTATTCATTTTTCTCTATATCACGCACGCCTACATTGTGTTAGTAATGTGAAGTTTAAGTTCGTTTAAAATGTTTTTTTGAAAAAATTAGTTTGGTTTCCGGGGGCAAATTTAGTGATTTCTTCAAAGTATCTCGTAATCCGATGTACTTCTTCATCGTCTCTTAGTTGAAATATTCCAGCTATACGTTGTCGGGCGTATCGAAACGGATTAAAATCGACTTGTAAGCTCTCGGTTTGCCGTAATAACTGGTTCTCTGTAGATTGTAACCGGATCTGTTCATTAGATAGAAAGTACAGTGAAGACACGCTGCACAACCGGAGATCAATCCAAAAAAAGGTCCTCAATCTGATGATGGGAGAAAATATGAACAAAAGACCCAAGGATTGAACCTACTGGCATAAATATCATACGAATGATAAAAAATGGTCAAAAACGGATTTGAGTTTTTTAAAACAATGCGGCTTTAACCCTCACCTAAGATAAAATTGGCGCACTTAATAGTGCGGTTTTGAATAGGCCTAGAAGTGATCTGTCAGGAAAAACCCTCCTCTACCGAATAAGCATCCTTCTTTTTCAGGTTTTATGCACCATAATACAAAATTATTATCAATCACACACGATTAGGTGTTGATCGAAGATTGGCGAAGTGGCGAATTCGAGAATGAACAAGAAAATTACTCCCTGGAGGTGGAAATACAACCCCATAGCACGTGAGGATGTCGCATGGGGTACGTGCCGGCCCGCTGTAACTAATGAACAACAATAAATAATTCTCGGCTGCGTCACAAACGTTTCAATCATTGACACGTATCGTGTATTTGAAAAAGTAATGTTTCCCGGTAATAATTACTTTTGTTGGAAAGTCGTCGAAGTCACAGTATGACGGGTTTAATTCGTAATAATATTATTTAAATTTTTATTACGGACTAAAAGCCCTGTTAAGATACAATTCCTCGAGTTTTCCTTACTGATATGGTTAATTGCAATTTTTAGGTAAATAAATTAGACCGTTTCGAACTTTACCGGCTCACTTGAACTATTTAACACGGGCAATAATGATGTTGGTTAAATAATTATGTTGGTCAACAACTCGTATCTCTCATTTACTAATTTTTAATTTTTTTTCAACTTATTCTAGCAGTTTTGTTGGTTTTAACAAAGTTTCAAATTAGCCGGACAGAAGTTTGATTTTGTTATTGTATTTTACAACCTTCGATCTTCTGCCGGTTTAAATGATCGCTGTATGACTTATACCACTCGTCAGGAATTTTTTAAACGAATAAGGTAAAAATATAAGATGAAATTAATTAAGGTTTTTAGTTGAGATAAAAAAGTCTATGTCCACGAGCGGGATTCGAACCCACGACCTTCGGCTAGATACGCCGCTACTCTACCACTTGAGTAGCGTCGTATCTAGCCGAAGGTCGTGGGTTCGAATCCCGCTCGTCATTCTGACTTTTTTATCCCAACTTAAAACCTTAATTAATTAAATCATATTAATTGGTCAAGCGGACCACGAAAAATAGTGATTATAAGAGGAAATATTTATTCGCGTATAAAAACAGCGCATAATAGCGAAAAAAATTTATAATAAATGAAAAACAGATATTATCTAGTCTTCAAATTTATGTATAACCTTAAAACCCATTGACCGTATTACACACGAATAAAAATCAATTATAACAAAAAAGAATTATTTTTTGATTATCCGGAACTCTAAAAATTGAAAAATTGAAATTTTCTAAAAAAAAACGAAATTCTTATCAACACTACCGCTAAAATATCAAAATTTCTGGTTTGTTTTAGGTATGCACTAGTTTACCCGTCATTTTACCCTATTAATAATCAGTTTTTACTTTTTAACAGTAACTATTATTACTATTCATAAACAATATTATGTCGAATAAACAAAATTATGGAATTAAAACCTTTCATTTTGTTATTTTTTAAAATCCCTTATTTAAATTTTCCTTCGGTAAAAACAGAATAATTTCTATTCAATTTTAATGCTATTTATAATAAAAATAAAACAAAATTGCTAGGAAAAGTAAATACTCCCATATTGGCTATACCACTGTTCATTTTTTAGCAGTTTAACATACAATTTATGTGCGTAAATTTGGTATATTACCAAATGTTTTTCCTTTATTTTTGTCAAGATAGATTTGTACACATTGACGACGGGGCATTTCAGGTATTTATCGTAATTATATTACTTCTATTATTTTGATGATACTTTTGTAACATGGAATATTATAAACATTCTTATTGTTTTATGTAACGAACTGTGAAAAATGACTATTCACAAAATCGTGAGATACGGTCTGGTGTGATGCAGGTTTCAGAAAAACATTTTCTTTATCGTGCCAACGTTTCGACCTTTATGGAGCTCATCTTCAGGGATTTACAAAAATTGTTTAAATTGAACAAATACATGTACGATGTGGAAAAAAGTGAATTTACACAATGCAAAAAAATATTTAGTGTTTGTTTTCTGCGTAAACACTTTGAGTGAGTAGAAATACGTTGATTGAATATAAAAAATATTTTTTTGCATTGTATAAATTCACTTTTTTCCACATCCGACATGTATTTGTTAAATTTAAACAATGTTTATAAATCCCCGGCCCTGAAGATGATATCAATAAAGTTCGAAACGTTGTACCGATAAAGAAAATGTTTTTCTGAAACCTACATCACACCAGACCGCATCTCATGAGTTCCGAATAATCATCGACTAACGGTCACTAATCACCACACATTTTTTGATCTTCTAGCAAAAGTTTGTGTTTGTATGAAGATGCAATTCAACACTCGTACAACTTACAAAATTTAAATGAAGATAATTTGTTTTTATTATAAGTTATTAATCGCAACGTCTACTTAAATTTAGGAATCGCTGCGATAAATATGACTAGTTTGTCTATGTAGTTAGTTGGAAGATGTCTTTTACGACCTTTAATAGAAAGCGGTGAATTATCTGTCATTACAAATAATTACCTTGTATAATATAATGTGACCTGGTGTAGCTGTTTCTTTTCCAGGCGTTATGTACAACCAAAATCATTCAGGTTGGACTGTATCCATGACTAGGGGCAAGGACTAGGCAAAGGTTTTGCCATCCGAGCCCCGGGATATTTCGTGATATCCGAACAAACCGGAATAAACCGAGACGTGGAAACCGTTAAAAACTTCCGTTCTTAAACCTCTTCTAAATCCAAATGAGTCGGCCCTCTTTTGCGCAACATCCGTTCCGGATTTCGAATTTCACCCAAAGGGCGTTTTGCCGGAGGAAGAAACAAGGCCTTAGGCCGGGGAGTCTCCTTTAAATTAAATCAGGAGGGACCCCGAGACATGACGTGAATGACAGCTATATTCTATCTTTATAATTACAACTCCTACCAACGGGATTGGGTCCGGGGGAAAAAAATAGTTCGCGGGAATATATTAAACAGTCAAACGCGATCCATGCTCGGAAGTCGAGAAACCTCAGAGGAACGTCATAACCCTTCAAAACAAAATCCCGAAACCCGATTATCCACGTTTGTCGGTATCATAAAGTTAAATAAGAAGCGACTTTACAAAACAATAATAAAAGGTCAACGTAATATATTGAAAGGGGGAAATAGAATCCGACACAAGAGCGTATGGGCACAAGAATTTCAAAAAATATCAAAATACTTCAACTTAGAGAAAAACTTTTACATTAAAAAAATGTATTTCGTTCGTTTATATAAAACCGTACAGATAACGCTTAATTACAATAAAATTAATTAAACTGCTAATATACTTTAAATCAAGCCGCTCTAGGGCCATCACGAACTTTACTTTTACAAGGGAACGTGTGTAATCATTAAATATTTTTCAAAACGATCGCAGTTGATCTTATTATTTTCATTCTCATTATTCTCAAGATAGGTGTTTATGAAGAATAGAAAATAACTAACCTGTGTTTGGGTCAATCCGAGGGAGGCGGCAAGTTCGGCTCTTTCCGGCAGCGCCAGGTACTGCGTCCTTTGGAACCTTCTGTTAAGCTGCTGGAGCTGTAAGCTGCTGTATATCGTCCTAGGTTTTCTCATTTTCTTCCCCTTCCCATTCACCCTCAGGCCTCCGTCCTCCCCACATTTATCTGTAAAATAAAGGAATCATAGTAAAAAGCTTTGAAGAAGTTTTTGACTCCGTGAAGAGCAACAGGTGAAAAGACTCGGACGCATCTTGGCATAAGTTTGAAGTGGCCCCTAGACAGACACGATACCCCTAGACAAGGGAGTTCTCTCGAGTTATTCTTTAGGGAAAGCATGTGTTCCTACAATGCGCACCTCTTTTTTCCCTTTTTTTTATACTATAGCCGCCTATTGTTAGCCTGTTAGAACCGCTAACTTTGATTCTATACTAGCATGCATCGATCGCAGTGATAAAAAAAAAAAAACAGACCGCCAGAGGTTCTGAAAAATGTGTAACATTTCTACTGTTGAAAGCTTCACAAAAGGTTATATTTTTCTATATAAATCATATAAATTAAATTTCGTTATCGAAAATCAGAAACGTTTCTAATCATACGGTTTATTATAGCTATAACGTAACTCTTAGTAACACAGGCAATCTTGGAATTTATTTACTTTCTTATTTGTATTAAAAAATTTAACTCACTTTTATAATATGTAATATCTAAGACTAAATCGAAAAAAAATTATATTTATTATATAACGACATATCAGGGGGGTCGGTGGCCGCAACGGTTTAGGCGTTGACACGGCGCTCATCACTGTAAGGTAAAGGTCCCGGGTTCGAATGCAGGGCCGCTGGATTCGAATGGACCTACTTATAAATGGGCTTTTTTTCAAAAACATCAGCACCTTGAAAAAAAAACTATACTTTAGTTTTACCAAGTTTGCAACAAAAGTAGACACGGTACGGGATTATCAATGCATAGTATAAAATTGGATAGAAGTCGTCAAGAACCTACATCAAACCAGACCGCATCTCACGATTTCTGAATAATTATCGATTAACGGTCACTAATCACCACACATAGGACAGAAGGCTCCTCAATGAAAAATCTTATATTCATCTAAAGCCTGAAAATTGTAATCTTAAAATAAATTTACTTAGTTCTTTCTAGTATGGTGAACTCCGGTGTTTTAAATTTTATAAAACTGAAGAAAACAATAGATACGAAAGAAGATCAAACCTGCTCTGGTGCCAGAAAACCGTTTTACCGATCAGATTTTGATTTTGAGTAAAATATAATGTACATAAAAAAATTTAACTCACTTTTATAATATTTAATATCTTTGTCTAAGCCGAAAAAAAAATTATATTTAGTATACAACATATCAGGGGGCGTCGGCGGCCGCAACGGTTGACACGGCGCTCATCACTGTAAGGTAAAGTTCCCGAGTTCGAATCCAGCGGCCCTGCTTTCGAACCCGACATACAAATGGGCTTTTTTTCCAAAACACTAGCACCTTGAGGGTTGAATCGTTAAAAAATAACTTATTTTTGTTCCTCTAATATTATTTTATTTTTATATTGTTGATTGAGAATTACTATGTCGTCAGGGTGTTCTCCCTAAGCTATGCAGCTAATTTACTCCTAGTTACTTTTTGGAGGTAGTCATAAATTTCCGAAAAAATAGATTCCGGTGTCTTCTAAATTTAAACAGGATTATAATAAAACTATTTAATTATTAACTATTATTTTAATTACCATTTCCGATCATTTCTAATATTAAACTTCTTAGTACACAAAGATAAACCAAACAACTCTGCACATTTGCTTTAGTTCAACTTTTCGGTTAGATTGTAATTTTTTTTTTATAGAACAGTAAACTGACTCGGCTATAAAGAACGTAATATTAACATTTTATTTAATATTAAATCCATATAAAATAACATATTGACGAACCTTTTTTTAAAATAAATTTAAAAAACCTATACATGCAAGGTTCCTCAGATGCACAGTACCTGTATAGGGGTCACATCAGCGCGTTTTGTGTTATTTATTTAATTTATTAATACCCCGAAACTATGTTAGAAATTACTTAACAATTAATATATCATTGATCTCAAAAGAGAAAATTTTAATAAGAGTTAAAGATAAAGTACAGTATGAGAATAAACTGAAGATGAATGTGAAAGGATGTGCAACACCAAGAATTCCATGTTACACATCCTTTACAAAATACATATTAATGAATTCTTGGAATAAGATTTTTTTTTAAATAGATTTTTAGTTTAATAGAGAAATCCCAACGTGCATTCAATTATGTTAAGCTACGTTATATTTCCTGTTTTTGTAATAAATTCTAATTAAAACGACGATGAATTTACATTTAGTTGAAACACGCTTTTAAAAATGTTAAAAGAGCAAAAGGTTTATAAAAATTGACGATGTGACGACAGGACGTAATAAATCTGAGAGGAAAATGTAAATCGTACAATTATTTCCTTTGAGTTAAAATACGGATCGCGTATACTCTAATACAAAGAAAATTGTATCTTACAATTATATGATACTAAACGTTGGCACCAATTTATTATTTATTTAAAAACACATTGCAATATAACATTTACGTTATATTTAAACATGTAGCTCTTTTTAGAATAACAAGTATTAGAATAATTTTAACTAATTTAATTAAAATTTAAAATAACGTTTGAAATAATATAAGATACAATGTAAAACCGTTTGTTTGTTTTAATTTTTTTATTAATACAAAAATTGTCCATGAAACGCAAAAATACGGGGAGAAAGAAAATTAATAAAATCTGTGGTGATTAGTGACCGTTAGTCGATAATTATCCAGAAATCGTGAGATGCGGTCTGGTGTGATGTAGGTTTCAGAAAAATCTTTTCTTTATCGTGCCAACGTTTCGATCTTTATTGCGATCATCTTCAGGGCCTGGGATTTACAAACATTGAAATTTATTGAAATTAAATTTAACAAATACATGTAGAATGTGGAAAAAAGTGAATTTAATGCAAAAAATATATTTTTTATATTCAATCATCATGTTTGTAAATCCCAGGCGCTGAAGATGATCTCAATAAAGATCGAAACGTTGGCACGATAAAGAAAATGTTTTTCTGAAACCTACATCACACCAGACCGCATCTCACGATTTTTGAATAATTAATAAAATCATTTACCCATCGATCCCAATTAGATTAATTTGTTATTGTATGCCAGTCAATGGAGGAATATTGAGTACTTCATCTACCAAATAGAATGAATGTAATGTAGGTGTGAATGTATTTATTTGTGTGAATGCGTATTGAATGTTGTAATAATTCGCTAGGGGCTGAAATACCACGCTGTCGGATGCCCCTTTAAAAAAAAATAAAATAAAATCATTGTTGTAAATAAATATGTAATTGCGACTGTGTAAACCGAACTTAGACGAAAAATAACATATGTTGTAAATAAAACAAGGCCGTGTTTTTAATCATTAATGTCTATTTTTGGGATCGCTTTTTCCCGCTGCTTTTCCTTTGTCCGTCTGTCACATCATCAATGTCAATCTCACGTCACATCGGCAATTACACCTTCCCTTTTGAAGACCAAAGAGAAGACTGTAAAGAACGTCGGAAGTTTGATCGTTCCACGGACAACTGGTGTACGGCGGTAAAACACGTACGACGGATGGTGCAAATTGACGGTTTTCATCGATTTCGGATAGTCTTCAAAATTATAAAAATTTGGAACAATTGTTCAAAAATATTGAATTTGTAATGTTTTATTGAGGTTTCCTGACGTTTTCAATATAAGGCGTGATTTTGTATTACAATGTCAAAAATAATGCATAATTAATAAATTGGGGTAAATAAATTTGCAATTATAACAGATGAAGCCTGCATTGACATATTCAAAAAAGAGTGTTAACTGCTATGTAAGCAGACGGAAAACGTCATTTAGATTTAGTAGATACTCAAAGAAGAATAAATACAACAGTCCATTTTGAATAATTAAAATATAAACGGGGGATTTATCTAATCTACTGTATAAACACCGGTCTATTCCATAGAACCCAGAGTCTAATGATTGTTATTAAAGATGAAAAGTATAATAATTAAAAACTAATACACGGCTTGTAATGGGCCGTGATGAATGAGAGGATCGTGATTCAATTGGACGGTTCGGAGGTGTCTTCGATTTCGATTATCAAAACGGCCGGTGGGACTGGGGTCTTACAAAGATCGATTACTCACAAACTAATTTGCGCTCCTTTCAAAAAGACCGATATAAATTAACAAATGTACGTTAATGGAACTTTTTCTCCTCCTGAGTCTAATCGAATACTTCCGGAGATTAACAATCCCTGCTAAGAAATCAAACGGTCGGATGTTATACAAGAGAATAAAAGAACACCTCCTTCAACAGGCATGTTAAAACGTGTTTCAGAACTTATTTAACAAATATAAAATTATGTGATAAATCCATATGTGTTTATATGCACCTATGATACTTTTATCCTCTCCTTTACTGTCCATTTGAGTTTGTACTATTTCAATATAGATGTATATTCCATAGGTAAAAACTGGCATTGTCATTGTATAAATGATTTTAAATGCATTGTGTTTTTGTATGTATTTTTATGTACCTATGAAACTTTTATCTTTTATAAATTCCTTTATTGTTCATTTTTGCGTATTGTAATATTTCCATATAGATGTATATTTCATAGGTAAAAACTGGCCTTGTTATTGTATAAATGACATTAAATTCATTGTGTTTTTCTGTGTGTTTATATGTAACCTATGAAACTTATATCTTTTACCTCCTGTACTGTTCATTTTTACGTGATTGTAATATTTCAATATAGATATAAGTAAAAGTTGGCATTGTTTATTTATTTAGAAATCGTGAAATGAGGTCTGGTGTGATGTAGGCTTCAGAAAAACATTTTCTTTATCGTGCCAACGTTTCGATCTTTATTGAGATCATCTTCAGGGCCTTTGATTGAATATATGAAAAATATATTTTGCATTGTATAAATTCACTTTTCCACATCCAAAAAGTAATTGTTATATATAAACAATGTTTGTAAATCACAGGCCCTGAAGATGATCTCAATAAAGATCGAAACGTTGGCACGATAAAGAAAATGTTTTTCTGAAACCTACATC